GCCTTTAGTTTGCTTTGCCAACATATCAGATACGTTTCACAGGCTTCCATCAATAACCTCCTGGGGTCATCAAGCCAAATTTATGACTGGCCAACACAGTCACGTGATTCTATTTAAACATGCCATATTTGGGCAGCGCACATAGAATAAAGAAAGAAGAATCTCCACCTATAAATTCTGCACTTTAGAGAACAAAAAACCCCCTGAACTTCAAAGGGCCACAAATCAAGCCTAATCAAAAGGGTGCAAAAAATCCGACATGAGTTCTTACGTAGCCAATTCGTTCTATAAGCAAAGTCAAAATGCTCCTGCCTATACCATGCAAAGTTATGGGAATTATGGATCTGTGTCTGAGGTTCAGTCATCCAGGTATTGCTACAGTGGGCTGGATCTAAGCATCACATTCCCATCCTCTGGTTCTTCCAACTCTCTGAACGGTTTGGACATGTCTTCAAGCCCTAGAACTAACCCCGACCGACCTTCCTGTACAGTCATGGGTTCTTCAGGGCACTCTCTAGCCAGAGACGACCAGACTCCTCTAAACCCAGGAATTTACAGTCAGAAGGCTGGTAACACGGCGTTGGAGGACAGATCTAAGAGCACTGGCGAGATCAAAGCGGAGCCGGTGCAAACTACACAACAAGGAGGGCAACAACTGCAGCAGCAGCAACCACCACAAATATATCCGTGGATGACCAAACTACACATGAGCCATGGTAAACTTTCACTTCTTGATTTTGTTTCACAGGATTTGCCTTGGTTTTATAGGCCATACGGGGCAAATAATAAAAAAAACCTAAGGTCGTAAATTTTACGACTAAGGCATCAATTGCTCGTAAAACTGTCCACTAAAAGGCTTAGAGGCTATATACGCCCAAATTTATGACAGCATAATTGGATCATAGAAACAAAACGTGTATAAAAGGCAATATTCCAATTTTTTGGAGGGGGTTTTAAAAATACACACGTTCTTTTAGGCTTCTCTTTAAAAATATTAAATACAAAAACATATAAAAAAGTCATCCCGTCTATATAGACTTGGCTTTTCTCCTTCCACCCTCTCCAGGAGAGAAATCCAGCCCATGAAAATATATTCCCCTCTTTTGCACACTTTTTTAATGGTTAACAGAGAACAGGTTCTCTTCTGGTCAGTCTGCAAACGTTTGATCTTTAAAGAAAACCCGAACAAACTTTAATCTCAAGGTGTTTATAAAAAGAGAAGCTACATGTTGACCCTGGCCAAACCTTGATGTCCTAGGCAGATACAATTGTCCTGGGGATAACCAAGCGGACTTATTTATATTCTGTTGTGTTATTATTTATTTTTGAAACATAATTGTTTTGGCTTTTCATGTGCTGTCTTTTATTTTCCAGAAACAGATGGCAAACGTTCCAGAACTAGCTATACTCGCTACCAAACTCTGGAACTAGAAAAAGAATTTCATTTCAACAGATACCTCACACGCCGGAGGCGCATTGAAATTGCCAACAACCTGTGCTTAAACGAAAGGCAAATCAAAATCTGGTTTCAGAACCGGAGAATGAAGTGGAAGAAAGATTCCAAATTGAAAAGCAAAGATTCTCTCTAAGGAGAAGGATGACTCTCTAAAGAGAGAGTCAGTAAATATTTACACGAGTTTTGTTGTAATCTACCTTCAGAAAACTTTTCTTTTTAGGGTGGGGAGGGGGTCGTATTGCTGAATGGACTGTGTTCATACCCTCACAAATCCATCAGACAAAGGAGTTATCTTATTAGTATGCAAAAACCTGCTCTTCGCTTCATGCAGAATTTAGTGTATAGCTCTTTAGATTGTTACTCAATGTTCTAACCTGTACGTTCTGGGGGGCGGGAGGGGCTTTAGTAATTATGTTGCTCAAAAACAATCCGCAGAACTAATGGGTTATATTTTATCAGTGCTATGATAATAATAGCAACAACAACAATAATAAGCTGCCTAAGGGAGAAAAAAAGCAAAGTAAGTTGTCGAAAGTCACAGAATCTTCCTTAACTGTCTGCTTAACCTTAATAGGAGAAGGAAAAATGCTGATATATTTTACTGTATGTGAATTAACCTGTGTATGCTGGAGTTCTACGTAAAAGATCTGACATCTCCACTTTTACTTTCTGAAGTCTAAAAGAAAATTGTTTACCTTGTACGTGGATTGGATATATCCACAGCTTATTTCCTAGATGCACTTGTCCTCAAACATGGCAAAAACTCGGAGACGAGTTGTTTTTGTTTGTTGGTTTGTTTTGTTCGGACTTAGAATTCATTATTTTTTATTATTTGCATATGAAAAGAAAGGAATGGACTATGAAATAATCGGCCTGAGCAATCATCCGAAATATCTGTGCAGAAGAGTAAAGCATGTGGGGAAAATGAATTATCTGGACCTAATATTATTGTGTATTTATTTGTTGCGTAATTAATGTAGATTTGCTAAATGCTAAAAATATATAAAAAAGCAAAAATTTGTACATCTTTGTTTAAATGTAGTCCATTTTAATAACTTGTTTTCAATAATGTACTCCGTATATTTATTGGTTGCAGTTTCATATGTGAAAGATCATGGAACTTATATTTTGTCATATTAAATAAACACTAAATAATACAAAACTTTGGCGTGCCAGCTGAGATAACCCTTTTGTGCTGATTTTCCTTCTTAGAGTTGTATTCAATCCTGCTTCTAGTTTGCTAAAAAATCTCTCTGGAGATAACAGGGGCAGAATGAGGGGTCCATTTCCTTACTGTACACTTATCTACCTCGACCCAAAGAAGCTTTGAGTTATGTGTGCTTTTCAGTGGTGGGGTCTTCTGATTGTAAAGTGCTAGATAGAACCAGCCTGAATAAAGTGCAGCACTGCTGTTACTTCCAACATACAAATAAGATGGCAGCTTTGGCTTCTTCTTAAACCAAATGAACTCCTTTTTTGAGTCTATATTCATTTCCCCCAACTGACAGATGGCCTCTTCTGCCAGGAATCTAGTTTTCAAAGACTCCCCCAAATGTATAGTTCAGAGAAAATACCCTTCCCAAAACAGCCCAGTTTATACCTCTAAGCACTCTTTAAACAGGTTGGGAAGCAACTTAAGAATACTCAGGCACAACTCCCATTGGTTTAAGTGGATGTGTTGCATGAGTTGGGGTCTGTACAGTGATATATATGCACCGTACCTTTTAGTGGCTATAGGCCCTATCCTATTCCCATTGAAATCAATGGTAAAACTACCATTTACTTAAGTGGGAGCAGAATGAGGCCCGTATTCGAATAGAGGTCCAGGGTGAAATTCTGGCTCCACTGAAACCAATGGCAAAATTGCCATTGATTTCAGTGGGGCCAGGATTTCACCCGCAAGGTTTAAAGTGGAAGTTTAAGGTAGACTTTTTAACCTGCTCTTTGTGAAAGTTACTTTGTCTTTAGGATGCCACAAGATCTGAGTATAACATGACATTTTCTTTGGTAATTAAAAACTTATACAGGAAAACTCGATACTTTAAAAAATGTATTTAGAACCACTGTTTTCCGATCCCCTGATTATTGTTATTGTAATTATTATTATTTAAGGTGATTGGCCTAGTTTAGTATTCTTGAGGTTTGTTTTGTGTATCTATCTATCTATCTATCTATCTATCTATCTATCTATCTATCTATCTATCTATCTATGCACACACATGCATACAGACAGACAGATATACATATACACACATATACAAACACATACATATATACAATTATGTGTGTGTGTGTGTGTGTATTAGTGTGTGTATACAAACATATATTTGTCTATTACTGTGTATACACAAACACTACACGTATAGACAACACACACTACTAAGGTCATCCTTGATGTGTCTTGAGAGCTATTTACAGTAGAAACAAATGCTTGAAGAAGCCAATAGCTCCATAAAACTTTATAGCATTTCCTTTACACATTTCAAACAATGGAACAATTTCCTGAACCTGGAAACAAAAGTTTCTTTTAGTGGTAGCCTGGAAGTCTTTAAGGGTACAATTGGTAGAGCGTGCTCAAATGTGGCGTGTCTATATGGCGTTCTTATTAAATATGGAGGTAGGACCCTACCTCTTCCTATAGTTTTTGTTTGTTTATTTATTTATTTATTTATTCATTCATTCATTATTAGGCAAGTTACAAATATCAAACAGTGCTTTCATAAAGGCTGTGACATTTAATTTTACTGTCATTTAACAGTCCATTGAAAATTCCTTTTATTTTTCTGGAAGAACTGTCATTTTCCCGTTCGTTACAGTGAAATACTGCTAAGCAAATCAAAACTAGGTTTGTAAATTTCATTCTGCCTGAACCAGTTTTTGCTTAACGCTCTGGCCCTCTGACTATGTGGGCCTTGGGTAATTACAAATAGAATAATAGAGTCTTTTAACTATTCCTTTTAGGTTTTTATTTTCTACCCATGCTGTGTAAATCTATTGAGAAATTGCTCAAGCACAGAAAATAATTTGGCGTATACTGGTGGCTGTTCACTAACTAAGTAGTTCTGTATCTAGTCTTATTCTCCTTTCTCTTAAACACTGTATTTGTTAAATCGTCAACAACATCTTTCCTTCCTCCTTGAGCGGTAAACTGTCAAGAAACAATTAGACTTGACAGTTAAGGGTTAACAGAATCAGATCCATTTTTGCTATATCTAAGGGAGGAGTGGGTTTTGCTGGTTCTGTTTTGTTGTAGTTGCTTCTTTTTTAAACCTAACACATTCAACTCCAAACTTTTTCACTGCCGTAGTGCGAAGCAGCAGTGTAGTTATTTATGATTAATTAGGTTAATCCTGACTTTCCGGGGGGGGGGGGGCATGGATTTATTTCAACCCCTCTTTTTTTTTAAAGAGTCATGTTCCAGGACTGATTCATTTTTGATTGTTGTTTTTGCTGCATTCTTGAGAGGTTTTGTTTTTCCTGTCTGTCTCTCAATCCTTTCCCAAAGATCGCTGTAAAACCAAGAAGGAAATAAAAAATGACTTACCTTTCCCCTGTCATCCGTGTCAACCCAGTGTGAACTTAAAATGGCCCCAACCACAGACCAAAGTTCCATTTTTTAAAAAAAATCCCGCATTATTATTACTATTAACATCATCATTATTATTGAGCAAAGGGCTTTTAGTTTAACTGAGAACATGAGAACATTAGCAGAAATACTCATGGCTTCTATGTGAATTTAGTAGTTTAAAACTTTTGAAGGTTATTTATGTGGATGGCCCTAAGCAAAAGCCCTGAATGGCTCTCAGAGAACACGTGATGTCATTAAACTAAGTTTTATGGTTTGGGGGAGCTGACAAACCCACAATATATTTACATCATATATAATCTTAACTGTCCACCATCACAGCTGCTAGAGCTGTTTAATGCTGGGACAGTGGGACAAGGCATTTAGTGTGGATTACGGCGTCTCAGACTGCTGTTAGTGAAGGTACATCTTACCAAATGGATCCCAAGCGATCTCAGTAAGTTAATTCCCCCCCCCCTTCTCTCTCGCTTTCTGGGGGGAAAAATCCATTGCACCCAGTGAGTCTTATTAAAATAGAGCGTTAAACTCTGAAGGGCATGGAATTCTGTAGATACTGTGAGGGGGGGAGGGCTTTGCTTCTTTTACTGTATGACAAACTAGTGTGTATGCCGTTTTAAAGTAATATAGAAGGCGTAGAAGGCGAGCAGCAGTCAGGAACCTTATCTAGAAGGAATATCAGACACCCCCCTCTTTCCCCAGGGCTTGTGGAAATTAGATAAGGCCAGAAAGCTCAATATATTACTGGTTAAGCAGAGACATTTCTCCCCCCACCCCTGTCCTACCCCACTCTAGCTGTAGACAATAAAATACTTGAAGAAAGCGAAAGGTGGAGGATTGGGGTTTTGATTCTCCTCCCCCCTTTGGTTTTAAAACTCTGATCAGATAGTTTCGGTTCTTGCTTGAGTTGTTGTTGTTGTTTTTTTTAAATCTTTTTTTTTAAAGGGCCACAGTATAGAGTTTGCTTTTTTTTTTTTTTAATGTTGCTGGGTGGTGAAGTGCATGCGCATTGCTGTGGGGGGGGGGAGAGATTGAGCTGGAAAGAGATCTGGAAGTCTGACTTCTGTACTCCTTTGATGCTGTTGGCAGGTGTGTAGAGGAAAGCATGAACTCAGAGCTATGCAGGGATTGGAACTAGGCCGAAGAATTTGTAAACTCCCTGTCGCAGATAAGGACTAAGGCTAGAGACGTGGCATTTTTTTTCTTCATAAGAATGATATGATCAGATTACACAAGGAGCCATCAATGCAATCCCTGTTTCTCTCTTTTTGTATTCCCCCCTCCACAACCAGGAGATGCTGCTCTTATTCCTCGTGTGTCCTTGGGTTAATGTAACAATATACCTCCAATGGATAGGTTTCAAACTCGAGCAATGCAGTCTCGAAATGATCTATCGAAAATGGGGCAGACCAGAGTCCAAACACCTGTCTGGAGCACTGTTTGAATGTAGAAAAATAGATTGGTGTTTGGGTGGTTTGCCTTCAATATTGTTTGCAACACTCCTAGGCAATGGTAGTTTTGGGAATGTAGGGCCGGGGCTCATATCTGAAATCTAACCACAAAGACTATATTATATTCAAAGTTAGAAATGTCATATTCAGTGAATGGGGCAAAAATCAGGAAATGTAGCAATGACTGGTGAAGACGTAAGAATCCCTGCCCCTGATACTGCGTGTGTTGTCTCAACTGTACTTCCAGAGAGCGTCTTGGTTTGTTTACATACCACGTTTCCCCCCCAGTTCATACAATTGCCTACCTAGCACTGAGTTCTCTGGCTCTAAGAGTCAAGAGAAGTGTGTAATCCCAGAAATAACTGCTACTCGGCTTGTTTTATTGGAGTCCAATTCGCGATCAAACGACCCTCGTGTTAAACAGCGAAGTGAAAAGAGGATTTCTCTAGTTCAAAGGAAAAGGAAGGAGGGGTGTGGGGGGGATCTGTCTGTGTGGGGGACGGGGTGTGTGTGTGTGAAGATATAAAATGTTTTGTTGTGCTTAAAACAGAGACGGTGCAAGGTGAAGGTATAGGGCCAGATATCCCAAGAGCTCAGCTCCCGTTTAGACGCCTAAATGTAGGAGTTGGACTTTCAGAAACGTTCAGCACCCAGTAGATCCCTTTGAGAACAATGGAGAATCACACACACAAACACACACTTAAGAACAATTTGAGGAAAACCCATTATTCTTAATAAGAGTTTACTGGGAGTTGATCTCTGACCCAAAGAGCCCAATTCTGCATTCTCTGCAGCCCACAAGGAAACCAGTGGAGTTTTTGTGAAGTTGGGGAGAAAAGGAGGATCCTGCCCAGTAAGCTTTAGAGTCTTTGTCCTCCAAACTTTCATGAAAAAGGTGTTCCTGGGGAAAATGAGGAGTTCCTCCAAGCAAATAGCCTTCATTTTCATTAGTGATTTGAAAATCAGGACACTCTGTATACTGGGAGGGTTGTAAACTCTGTCCCTTTTACAGGAAAGCAAGCAGAATTGTGACCATAGGCCCCTGTGTGTATACATAGGCCAGATGCCTTCAAGTGGGTGCTGCTGCTGTTACTTATGGTCTTTATAAGATGCTTCCCAAGCCTTTGGTCTGAAATCCAGCGTGTACAACTCAGCGACAACACCCCTCTAGACTTCCAGGAGATTCAGGCCTAAATACTAGTTGTTACCTAGTTATTTATGTTGGGATAACGATTCAGCCTGTTTCAATAAACAGCAACACTTGCTGAGTCCCTCAGTAAAGTTCTCAATTAACTTAACACACTCATCATGGAGCCAGATTCTGTTTCCCTTCACACCAGAGTAAATGATGAATCATTCCGGATTTGCAGTGTGCAGTGGCCAGAGCAGAATTCGACATCGTCCGGCTGTTTGTACACGCTGTAGACACTCCTTCAGATAGGTTATTCTTTGTATAGGCATAGGTGAAATTCTGACCCCACTGGAAACATTCCTTTGACTTGAACGGAGCCAGGTGTGTGCTAAAATAAACCGAAGTGTAATACTTTAGTTAGGGGAAGTTCCCATTGAAGTATATGCTAATTTTGCCTGAACAAAGACCCCTGGGTGTAGAGTATTTAAGTTTGTGTATAAGTAGATACTATGTACATACATGAACCTATAAAGTACACCCTTCTTGTGTATCCAGCATATAAAGTGTCATACAAAAGATATACACAGTGATTTGGTGTATGTATAGAGATCGATACATACTTATTAACTATAGAAGATACATTGGGCCTAATTCACCCTGGGTGTAACTTCATTAACTTCTGGATGTTACAACATGGGACTGATATTTGTTGCAACCTTCTGGGGTATTTATTATTATTATTATTATTATTAAAGATTTGACCAAATTCTCCACTATGGGCCAAATTTTCAAGAGCCCTGTACCCACAATTGGGGCCAGATTTTCCAAAAGGTCTCCGAAGCCAGCAGCTCCCCAGTGTTCCCCTTATGGTTCTTTTCCCTAAAGAGCTGCGTGTCCAGCCTGCACTTCCAGCCATATGTGTATACATCTGCCCCTCCCCCTCTTCTGTCTAATACTGGGTGAGTTCTTGGGCCCCTTAATGGTGCCACGAGTTCCTTCTGGTGCGAGATCTCTCTTCCGAGGAAGAAGGTGAGCTGGGTTTGGCCTGCTCTTTGCAACAAAGCGTGAGCAGTTGCGACAACGAGGAAATGAAAGGTACAGTGGTGTGCCATAATTTCTAAGTGGGATGGGGCAGGGGGAGGACCCAGAACAAAGACAGTTTTTGCCCACCCGATCCTTAATTTCTTCCTCTCCAAACAAACCAGTAGATTGAGATCACTTCTGCTGTTCACATTGAACCGGGAGTCGCAGCATCGGATTGGTGTGTCACTGTTTTAAGTCTGGGCGCGGTGGAGTAGCCTCCTAGAAATGTGTGTGTGTGTGTGTGTGTGTGTGTGTGTGTGTGTGTGTGTGTGTGTAGTAAAAAAAAAAGACAAGAAAAGGGATGCCCTCTTAGCAGAAATAAATCGCAACCGCTTCCCCAGCTTTCTTGCCCTTTGCGAAGCAAAATGCGGCCCTGCTGCAAGACTAGTCTCTAGGCGCGGTAGCTCATAGTTCTAGGTTCGCTGGGGCGAGTGCCTTGGTTCCATGCTGCAAAGCGCGGAGTGAATTTGGAAGGTGCGAAGCTGTTTCACTTGCAGGTGGCTTCGATGCAAATCTAGACTCCAGCCCGCACGTGGGCTTCCAGACGGTTGTTTTTCCTTTTTCTTGCCTGACCTCCAACTTGTTCCAGGTTTAATAACCATATAACAATGGGGGTGCAGGAGTGAATAGACTGTAGAGTTAAGGCTTAAACTAACTCAGGCTTCGTGAAGATAGAAATGCATATACAAACATCCCCCAATTTCTCCATAGATAAAGGTTATTTTGATATTTAGTGTGACCAATCCCCTACTTTGCCAGGGGAACACACTGCCAACACTCTGTGCCTGAACAGAAGCTTTAGCGTTTTGTATCGCAAAGCGCATTTATCTTATGAACGAAGAACCCAAGGTTTCAATGAATTAAAAAGTTTCTTCATAAAGAGAAGTGGCATTTTTCGAAAACAGTCATTTTGGTCGTGATGGCAAAGAACAAGCCCTCTGGATTTCTTGGCGCTTTGTCTCTTCCCTAACTCTGAGTTTCAGGGGGAAAAAACCTCGCTCACACAAATAAACTGATTCAATTGATTTTCACCTTGAAATCCTATTCATAAAGCCCATTATTTGTTTGTGCTTCAAGAACAAGATCGATCTGGCGCAAGAGTTGCTAGTTCATTTCATCTTCTCCAATGGGGAAGTTCTTGCCATCTGCAATCGTCAACTTTTAATTTAGGTTTCTCCAGAGCTAAATATTTCTGAGATGTTATGATAAATGTAATGTTAGTGTTTCCATCCCTATGACTCTTCTCTGTATTATTATTTTTCTTAATGTATATATGGTTGGCTAACATTTCACCACGAGAAGATGGAAAGTTAGCTTGGAAGATTTGTGTACTTTTATGGCACCCAAAATAGCCCAAGGATCCCACCAGGCATGCGCAAAGTAGAGTCAGGTGATCACTGCTCTCCAGGCAAGAGAAGGGGGTTGCACACACCCTAAGATATATTAAAAAACAAACAAAAAAGAATTAAACATCTTTTGATTAGCAGAAGCAAATGTGACATTTAGGCAAGTTTGTAACTATATCAGTCATCTCCCCTTCTCCTCCCAACAGGTGATACAATATTAGCATGAGCTTGATATTTTACCTAAGATTGCACCATTGTGGGAGGGTTTTTTTTTATTGGAACATAAATACAGTCCAACTTCTGTCACAGTATTGAGGATAAATCACAGGGCTCAACTATATTAATCTTTGTGTGTTGTCAGTTGGGATATTTGAGATTCAGAGGCATTCTGCTTAATTTGGAATTAAAATGGAGCTAAAACCTACTTCGCTGAAATTACTTTAGCTGCAAGCTATTTACAGGTAGCATTTTAAACTACCTGTTTTGGGAAAGTAGGGAATATTACTTTAAAATAACAGCGCTTCCTGGCATTTTAGTATCTTAAAATCGTACATTTCGTACTGGGAACATTTATGTTAAAGGTGAACAAACTAAATACAGCAACAATAACCAAGAAAACAGAAAATCATGAGCTCGCAACTCCAAATTGCAGCCACTGCGAGTCAATGTAATTGGGTTACATCCTATTATAACAGTGGGAATATTTTATTATCTATCGTAAGAAACAACCAACATCTGTGCTCGCCTTGAACAAGACTTGCAATTGAGAGAACCTCATTCAATTTTTTTTAAAGGTCGGGTTATAACTTTCTTAGTCACTCTCAGAAGATTATACACGGAAAGGTTTGCAGTGGGCAGTTGCCAAAGATATGCTATATTCCAAAAGTAAACATTTATTCGGCCCTTTACATCCACCATATTTGATGTGCCTTCCAAATAGGATGCCAAAGCGAAGAGAGAGTTGAGAGGTTTTACATTAGGGACAGGATCTGATTATTTCCAAGCAATCCTTTGCAAAGCAAATTTAAGGAAAGAATATTTTCCAATTGTTCTCCTTTCAATGAAGAATCGAAAGGTGCTTTAGTTTCAATGCTACATCCATAATGAAACATAACCATTCAAGGCATCTAAAAGCACGTTGCCGAGTATTGCCAAGGGTATCAAAAATAAATATTTGTATTGAGTACAGGCTAGAATGCTCTGAGCTTTGTTATGGGTACTAAGAGATTTAAGGCACTGCATGTCTGACACAGGAAGAAAGTTTTGGTGTGACTTGAAATGTAGCTATATTCTTTCAAGAGGGTCTTTCAGTGTCTAACTCTTCCTTCGGTTTTAGGTTTCATTATTATTATTTTTTTTTAAATCAGTGTTGTAGCTGGCAAATTATTGTCATTTCCTCAGCAGATTTGGCAGCTTTGGTTTTTAGCTTAAATAACATTTTTTGAAAACTATTTCCATTTCAGGATCAATAAAATAGCCATATTCAAAATTCTATTTGCCACCTTCGTACCTTATGAATTAAAAGGTTTTTTTTAAAAAGGTTAATATTAAACATTCCTCTTTACAAGAAAATCATTGTGCATATTAATTACCCACGTGAGCGGAACCATAATGCCTTCGAACGTAAGTTTAGTGTGGTGCTGAATCCAGAAAAATGGGCTAGCGAGAGGTGGAATGAAGAAATCAAAATATCCCGCTAAGATAAGGTATCCTCCAAGGGTGAGATTCACTTTTGTTTCAGCTTGCTGATCTCCGTTATTCTCCCAGTGGTTTTTAAACATCATCTCCCCCTTTTCCTCTCTCTTTTAAGAGCCACGGTGCAGAGATCTTCTGCCTATGCAGATTGTACTGATGGAGTGATTTTATTGATTTAGTATCTGATTCTAAAAGAGCATTCCTGTCAAATGATGTTTTGATCTGGGTTTTCCCGGTCAAGAGTTGAATTCCGAGTTATCGATTTTTTTTAACTTGCGATTTCCCTTTCTCCTGGCAGATATGAATGTAGTTTCCCTTATTACCCCTGCACGAATTGGAGATGCCTATCCGTTCACCATATCACTTCTTCATTTAGAAGGAGTAAGCCTTCCCCAGTGCGAACCCCCCTCCCACTTTCGCTTCATTGTTCCACTGATCAAGATTGTTGGTTATTATTTTTTACATTCCATATTTGTTTTCCTAGCCAAACCGAAACGCGAGAGGATTTGAGGCAACAAGATAGTTTGATAGAAATGAAGACATATCATGTTATCCCCCCCCCCTTAGAGTCTTTATTCTGTATCCTATTCATTTTCTCCTCTCCCTTACTAGATATATCTATATAGACATTATATATATAATTCTGTCTTGGCACTCAACAGATTTCTCTAATTCATGTCTCAACAACAAAATAATCACATGGGAAGAGAGAGCTGCTACTGTTGACCTTTCTATTTATTTCTGTCCGCGGCAGGATTAGAGTTTGCTTGAGTTTAGGTAACATGAACTGGAGTGTAATCTGCAAGGAACTGTAGTCAACTTCCGAAGTGCACATAGCTAGAGTTTATGGATGATCCTGTAGGGCATAGCCTGTATGTATCTTTCTTTAAAAAAATGAAACTTTCTTTTCTGTAGGTTTGGCCATGACAAAATGGAGAGAAACAGCAGTAAGTAATTTTCTTTCTTTCTTTCTTTCTTTCTTTCTTTCTTTCTTTCTTTCTTTCTTTCTTTCTTTCTTTCTTTCTTTCTTTCTTTCTTTCTTTCTT